GTTAACAGTAAAACTATTAAAAACAGGGCCAAATCCTTGAGATGGCAAAGCATCATTCAGTTCAGTAGAATCGGAAAGTGTAACATAATTCCCACAATGAAAACCAACATTTACTGTATGTTTACTCAGAAATCTTTTGCTACCATGTACTTAATTTCGCTGCTGTCCTTTTGTATTGTGAACTTGTGTCATGTTCCAGCCTCTGCGTTTGTGTAAGCATACACACTGGCATCTCCCAGATCTTTTTCTCTGACTGATTTCCAGGAGCTCACCTCCTATATCTTAATTACATTTAAAAAACAAAGGTAAAATGGTTGTATTGGACATTGTAATGATGTCTTTTTCTAATAAAGCAGAGGGAATGATTTCAAGTGAAAATATAACAACTGTCTACCTTATTCAAAACAACATGCTCAGTAAGCACTGAGAATTTTTCTTTCTTTGTTTGTTTTGTTTTAGTTTTGAAGTTAATGAATCTCATGGTAATCTGACAATAATGGCATACCGAAACAGAGGATCATATGGCAATGTGTCTGTATTTTTTTATGCCCAAAATCTGGAGGCACAGCTGGGTTTGGATTTTAATGTGACCTCAAGGGTAAGAAGCAAATTCTAAATCTATACTTTTAATTCCTACAGCTTACTCAAAATAATGTCTTCTTGTTTATTCTGCAAAATGAACTGTAGTGCAGCTAGATTTTTCAACTTGTTGCAATTGTTTTGGTCATCTGAATAGAAGGAGATAACATTAAGCATCTTATTTAAGTGTTTCTTTCTTTTTACGTACTGAAGTATTTTTAAATATAAGACACATTGTAAACTTGCAAACATCTATCTGAAATACAGTTTTGCTTAAATAGGAGCATACAAGATTTCATTTAAGGTTTCATATTTTTAATAACAGGAGTTTCAAAGTACATAGCTCTTGCTGAACTTTTTTCTTCTGTTTCAATCAATATATAAAGGACATGGAGATTATAGCTCTACTTGCCTCCTTTTCCTTTCTATTTAAGACAATTCTGTTTACCTGAGGTGAAAAATTCTGCATTAATCACTCTTAAGTATTCAATGCTTTCTGTGTTTCAATGCTAGACTCTTTTTTTTGCTGATGGAGAATGGAATAAATCTGTTGTTGTTACAATTTTTGACGATGATATTCCTGAAGGTGATGAGAAGTTCCAATTAATTTTAACAAATCCCTCTCTGGGGCTGGAATTAGGGGATAACACAACAGGTAAAACTTAGTTATATTCATTCTTCTGAATAATCATATTTCAGAAAACACCATTGTCCTACCATGTTAGATCTTTATACTCCTTTGGGAAGTTCTTAAACAGCCTTATGAAGTCTGTGTAATTAACAAGATAATGTGTAAATAAGGAATCAGAAAGTGTGAAATGGAGATTTTAGTAAGTGAGACTACATTCTTCCTGTGTAGAAATCTTCCTAGATAAAGTAAAATACTTACATAGTTTCTTCAAGTAATGTGCAGACATAAAATATATGTATACACTAACAGAATAATGGATTTTTGTTTATATGTATTTTATTTTCATATATATACCGTTATATTTTACTATGTTAATTAAACAATATTTCCATTATTTATCTCTCAAAAGCCACAATTACTGTGCTTGCCAATGATGATGGCCATGGAGTTTTGTCATTTAATAACAGCGATCACTTCTTCCTCAGAGAGCAAACAGCTCTCCATTTGATGGAAAGTGTTGCAGTATTAAACATTATTAGAGAACCTCCACAGGGGATATTTGGCACTGTGACTGTTCAATATCTTGTAAGTGAAATTAATTCTTCAGAGGCATCAGTGGATTTGACACCTTCTCAAGGATATATTGTGCTGGAAGAGGGAGTCAGATTCAAGGTAATGATAATTATTACCAAAAAAGTGAAGAAAAGTTTTTTGAAATTGTTGGAAAGATTTAAAAAATGTCTGTGTTTATTCCTTTTTTTTCCTTTCTTATGCTTTCCTTCATTCTGAGAATAAATTGAGTTATGGGAGTGGGACTGCATGAAAACTAAATGTACTCTGCTGTAGAAATTTCTCTCTTTGTACCAGTTGAGCTAAATGGAAAACAATATAATGGGTATATAATGTTTATGCATTCATAGGAACATTTATTTGTATGTATTCAGCATGAAGCTGAAACATAAACTTTAAAATGAAGTGATAATTTACTAGCGTAAATAGTTAAGGTTGAAGCAAAAATCCCATTCTGTAATGTGATACTTCAGCTGATCTGAACTGAACAGAATATGCTGCAACAAATGCAAAGAGTAAACAGCTCTCAGAGTGTTAGGAGTAGAAAATTACTTACTCTTCTGTGCCTGTTAAGCTCACTGCCTCTGTACTGTCCCCACAAGACTGTCGGCTAGAAAATGAGCTGCCTCAAGTTCGTCAAGTCTTGACCCTTCTGAAGTTCAGTGCCAGTTTGTTGTAAGCTCCAGTTTAGTTCCAAATCCATCTTTGCTAACTTCTTTTTCTATGGCAAAGCTAGGTGTACCTCTGTAAAGTTTGCTTGTTTGGGTGGTGGGTAGGATGACAGTGAGCCCCAAATAATAGTGAAAACACCTACCTTTTTCTAGATGAATCTTACTAATTTGAGACCATCTTGAGAGGAGCCTAATGTCATCCACAGTGGTGCAGTAGGAGGAAAGCAGCATTGAGATGAGAGAGTATTTCAAATATCCCTCTATTCTTTCCTTTTTCCTTCTTTCTTCCCAGCACCAGTAGTGGAATTACCCTATTGCCCTGAAGCTGCCTTAGTTGACGACTAAAGTAAATTAAAACCAGCTTGACTGAGCTGCATTAGGGGGATCAGTTAGTTGTATGGGGACTACAAACTATTATCAAGGAATGTATAGAATAAGTACAGAACTGAAGTATGAAAAAAAGGATCAAAACCTATTACATTTCGGAGGGTCTTAGGATGAGCGGAGTAGAAAGGAGGAAGTGGGTATGCTCATCTTAGTGTTGCACCAATGGAGGTCACCAAGAGGAGGGCTTTAGGACCTCAGCCTGAACCGTCCTTGCCCTCTGCTCTTCTATTGCTGTGCTATCCAAAGGCATACAGCGAAAGAAAAGGAACAGTAGCATGGTCAGGTAGGGTTGTGCCAGCATTAGCTGTCAAATCTCAACAGCTTTCTATGCTTGTTTCCTTGTCAGACACTGCATATTTCTGCAATACTGGATGAAGAACCAGAAATGGATGAGCACTTTATTGTCACCCTGTTCAATCCAACTGGAGGAGCCAGACTAGGCACAAAAGTGCAAACTAGGATTACAGTATTACAGAACCAGGCTCCTCTGGGGCTTTTCAGCATCTATCCTGTTACAAATAGGTACCAAACACTGATTGAGTTAAAAGGATGTATTTCTTACTCAGTAGAAATGGTGTCTCTCTACAGGGTTTTTTTGATGAATCCTTTTAAAGAAAATCAGTAATCCCATTATAATACATTTGTAGTTTAGAAAAGTACACTATCTGTTAAATACTATTACTACTATGCAAAAGAACAGAAAAATACTTTAAAATGGACTATTCATCATTAGAAATGTCAGTTTCTATATGAATTTCTTCACAAAAAGGTAACTTCATTGGTCCCTAAAAATTCCCCAAATAGTAATGCATGTTAAGAGCTCCAAACTTCAGATCAGTGCCCAGGGAGTCATATATTTTATAATTTATTTTTGTTTTTTAAGCTTGTGTAAAATACACTTTCACTCAGGGATGTTTTTCAGAAGCAAATGAACCATACAGAACGGCATTTTCAAAAATCATTCAGCTTAAACCATAGAGCTAATGTGTTACATTTCAGTCTGGATTAAGATTTTGTTAAATTTCCTATGATTGTGCTAAGGTTTTGTGGTAAGAAACATTGAACAACCTTAATGTAGTTATCAGCCCATCAGATAGCAAAACCAGTTATTAATATTTTCTTTTTATTGCTGTTGTATATTCTGCACTGGAATTGTACTGTAAAAGAATCTTACAGTATAAAAATAATACATTTTTTCTTTATTTTCACAATTTAGGACAAATTTTCTCATAATTGAAGAAGCCAACACTACAGTTTATTTGAAAGTTTCACGGAGTAATGGGCTCAACGTGTCTGTGAGTGTTGAGTGGGAGACATTGTCGGATACTGCATTTGGCATCAGTACGTTCCCTTTATTGAGAGTGTACCGTGTTTTTGTCTGAATGGAGATAGCAAGAGACTAGCCAAAAAATACAGGAGATGTAACTTTGGAATGTAAATTCACGTATTCAGACTTGATCACATTAATATTTTTCCCAGCAAGTCAAGATTAGTTTGATAAAAGATTTTAGCTGCTTAAGGGTCACCTTGTCAGCAACTTCAGCCAAGAGTTTCAATACCCTCTATAGCTCTTCTTGCTGCTTCTACGAACGTTATTGCTACTAGAGTTTTGTTTAATAAAATCTGGTTTTTGCTACTTGTAACTTTGGATTTGGACACACTTTACGTACACCCGACAGAACCTTAGTCTGAAAGACTTCACCCACACGTTTTCAATCGCAACTCCCTGTGTGCCTACTGAAATGCACCTGTGGGAGCCTCAGGCTGTAACTTCATCAACACCAGTCTGGTCCAAGTTAGTACTGCCATTGGCAGAAGCCATCCTTCCATCTCTGCCTGCTTGTTCCCGTTTCCGTGCTAAGTGTTTTTATTCCAGTACTGGTAACGAGTGTAGCTGCTCACTAATCCAGGATGAAACAAGGCAAAAAGCAGAAATGCCTCATTTTGAACACAGGTGAATGCTGTGTCTGGCTCAGCAGCTCATCTAACCTGTGTGCGGGACTGGGGGTTCAGATCTGGGGGTGCAGTTCTGACAGTGCAGTGCTTTTTTTCTGTGATCACTCAAACAGCTTAGGCAGTTTAATACTCTGAGTGCCATGACTGCTTGTTGTGGTGAGTGGGAGGAGGACAAACACATACATTTTGTTGTTTCTTTGACACTTTTTTCACTACTTGTTATCTAGATCGTTTTCTCACTGGCTAAATTCCAAACTGAATCATTCTGAATCAGAATCGAATTGCCTGTGTATCTTCCGTATGCAGTTGTAATGTATGAAAAATAGGTGTATTGCTTAACTCTCATTAGATCCTCAGTATTGTAACATTTCTATGCATTTACATACACTTACATCAGCTATTGAGGGACAGCTTCAACCTTTCCGATACTAGGTCTGGTTTTGGCAAGTAAGTAATGAAAATGGCATTGAAAAAGACCTCAAGAATAAATAGTATTTTCTTTTGCTGTGTTGCAGGGGGTAGTATCAGTGTCCTGTCTGTCTTGCAAAGTTTTGTGGAAGGGTCAGCGTCTAGCTGGTGTTTCTTTACATCAGGAGAAATCCTGTATGGTGTTCTGCTGCGTACGCCTCCAGCTACGTTTTCTACCGTCTACCAGTGGAAAGGAGTTTTTGTTCCTGTCGAGGTAAATGTTTGCTTGCAAACGCCTAGCGTGCTGCTTAGTAAAGAATTTAAGTCTCAATTTTACTTCTTTTATTCCTTTCTCAGAATTTCAGTATGTGGAATCCTAAGAGCTGTGTGTCTTTCCAAATCCGTGCCTCTCCCTACCTTGTGATTACTCATGGGGAAGACAGGCAGGGAGCTTCCAACAACAGTGTGTATGCATTCATGCCTGGACACAGACTGTTGAAGGTAAATCTGTTTCACTGACAAAGACATAAATATTGGGGTTGGAAAGGACAAAGCCGGCGCCCCCGCCAGTCCAGCTATGTTTTAGAAAAAAATACTCTGCTGAGCTGGTTTGGGGCCCTAACACTCTGCATGAGTTCAAAGATTTGAGTTTTTACAGCTGGTATCTACTGCGGTTTTATAGTTGTATTTTAGAGGTGGGGGAAAATGGCCTGGGAATTGAGGAAAGAAATAGGGGAGCAGTCAAGTCATAGAACATTTTCTGAAATATTTATGATAAATTATATTAATTTTGTAAATTAACCTCACATATATAGACATACTTTTAAGACTGATGAAATTTTAAAATTTATTAATATTGAAGAAATTTTATATATTTTATCAACAGTTTTATATGTAA